GCCTGCAGGAAGTAGTTCTTAGTGGACTTGGAATTGACTGGTGTTCAAGGTGAGTCGTGCTGATAAGCTTTAATAAATAACATAAAACAAGAAACCCGATTGTAATCTTTTCTTAACCCTCCTCCTTCACGACTGGACCAAAATGCATGACTACTGTCTCCAACCACCAGTCAGAGAAGAACAGACACAGAGGAGGGAAACAGCGACACAGACAGAGGTACAGTAAAAGAAAAAAAGTCAATAAGCAGGGTTTGTACATTTTATTATCAGTTCAGCTGCGATGAAAAGAAAAATACCGTCAAATACAGTGAAACCGGTGAAAATGTTGAAAATACCGTGATTTAAATTTTGAACATATTGCCCAGCTCTAGTAGGGGGTGTGTGAGGGCAGCTTGTGGGAGGGAGGTGCGGCGTCTGCTGCAGAGAAAGCAAAGAGGAGAAAAACACAGACTCAAATAAATCGGTGCATTTTACAAAACATYCAGATAAATAATAAAAATTATTCACATAAGTGACATTAGCTTCCTTGGTAACAGTAAACACAKGTGCTTAAAATTAATGTCAGAATGTGAAGGAGTAAAAATCTACATTGTGTCACGTCTGCCTGCTTCCCTCTCCAACTTTAAAACCATCTCACTTTTTATAGCTTCACGCTGAAGCCCAGAAAGTTCTGCTGCTGCAAGTTCTGTAAGTGTGACCAAATCCTCAACCAATCAAAACGAGGCAGCAGAAAACCTTACATCACTGCTCCATACACAGGTTTCACTTATTGTGGTGAAGAGAAAACAAAAAGCTAAAACTTGCTCATCCACTAAAGTTTRTAATATAATTGTGTTTATGACTTGACTTTACATATGTCTGATTTAAATATCAAAGTATGCAGACAACCTGTAGGTGGCTCACTGGTTTCACTGGGGTCTGCAGCTGATGCTTCACCCTCAGGTGCTGCTGCCTCAGGCGGGGGGGCTCGGCTTGGGCTTGGAAACAGCTGAGGGAGAAGAGAACCAAACTGTAGGACTAGAAACTGAATCTGAGCCTGAACTGAAGCTCGTCACCCATTACGCAAGAACCGAGAGAGTGGTTTGTTTACTTGTGAAGAACAAAGTTAGYTCTGGTCGGGATATTTTTATTCTTTCAAAAAAACCTGAAGAATTTGAGTCTTTATGTTTTTTATTTAAATCCACGCACCCACTTCAGATTTCTGACCAACAACTATAATACTTGGACACCAACAAAAACAAAGTTCTGCTCTGATGATGTGTCCAGAACTGTGAAAAAATTATTTTTTTTCTTTGCAGCTCTGCTCTTGTACAGTTTGTTGCAGCCTGAAGGGTAAACAGAAACGTGAAGAAAAAAGATGCTCCAGAAAAAAGTCACGACATTATTTAAACTATTTGTCTAGAAATTATCATGAAATTGCTCATATCTGTTAGCAAAATATTTCAAGAACAATGATGGAATTTAATGAAACTCTCACAAACTAATTACTGAWTGTACCTCTACAACTGATTAACTTTCTGATTCATTTCCACTCAAGATGGCCGCTATAGGTGACTGACCTTGGCAAACACAAAAAYRGCTATAACTCAAGCTAATTTGTTGTGTTTTAGTAGGTGAGACTAATCCATGTTATACGCTCCGAGTGCCAACAGATCTTTTTTTAAAACTTTGGCATAAAATGAGTAGGGGGTGATTAGTTTTCCTTGAAGAAATGCTACTTTCACTGGAGCACAGTTTTACTGTCATTTTGTTCCGACACCTTCACATTTGCTGTTTTCATGGCAACAAAGAGGAAGCTGAACTGTGTGCTGCAGAGTCAGCTGATTCAGAGTCTGCTCTTACAGCAAATAACCTCAAACTAAAAAACACAAGATGTTCTCAACATGAAAACAGACGCTCTGAGSTTTGGAGCATAGTAGGTTTCACTCTTAATAACCTGACCAGTAGCAGGTAAGGATGAATTCACTCTTTCTTCATATAAATGAATTCAGCAGCTAAAATTCACACATTAAAGCCCTGACATCTAATAAAAAATATTACATGTCACCTTTTACACCAAAATGTTAGACTAAGGTTATGTTTTTACTGCAGGTCTTAATGCTCAGATTCTTTTTTTTTTTTTTTTTTGCGTTGTAGTTTACATTATAATTTAAAATGTGACAATAATTAGGTTTAATAATCCGCAGTCCTGAAGCCACCTGCATGCAGGAAGATGATGACATGTGCAGCACAACAAACTAAATATGGATCCAGATATAGATCAGTTCTGAAGTTGTTGTAAATCAGCCACGTTCGTTTTATCCAGTGTTTACATTTTATCTTGCCACTTCACACTACTCCTGTGCAGAATCACATTCAATTTGCCAAGTTCTGGCTGGGTTACAGCCATTGTAGTGCTGGCTATTATGGATTATCTGTGGCAGCCATCTTGAATTGGGTTTATTCCAAAAGCGAAAATTTCCACCAGTTTCATTAAAATCCATCCAGTGGTTCATAAGATATTTTGCTAACAGTCAGACAAACAGACAAAAACATTGCTGCCTTCACCAGCCTTTAAACACAGACTATCTCAACATCTCTTAGCAGAAATCAGTTCAGGGAASAGGTGAAATATGACGTCTGAAAGAAATCAATCAAAAAGCAGCTCACCGGCACCCGGGGACTCTGACTCGAAGTGTGAGGTTGATCTTTGAAGACTGGTTGAGATCTCTTCCATACGTTTCGCATTTCTTTGATTGTCTCCTTTTACGGTCATAATCTGTGACATTAAAAAAATAAACCATCCCTTTATTCACAATTAAATAAATGATTAAACATAAAAAGCCACACAATCTGATGGAAACAAGCATGATTTCACAAACACTCCGACAGTGAATGTCTGGCGCAATCAGGTTCTGAATTTACCAAAATAAAAGCCCAAAAACTGTTCAGCACTTTCATTTAGCTTCTTTTCGTTGTTCAGACTGTTGTCACTCAGAAAAGAAAAAAAAACTTCACAAACAGATGAAACTCATTCCTAACATTTGTTGCCAAAACATTTCTGAATCTTTAGCGAAGTATTCGACGGACTAATCGTACTCACGAGTGTCAGAGTACCAACGAAGGCTGCTCCCATTAAGACGGCGTACGTCAGGTTGCCTTTACTCTCCAGTGGGCTCTGGGACATGCGGGCACGTGTTGGTGGTCGGACATTGTTCAACTCTGAAAAAGAGAAAACGCCACAAAACAAAAGCATCACTACACAAAGACTCACAGGATTACTCGAAAATGCAGTACTTTATTTCTTTGTTGTTCAAATTAACTTGGAAGACATGTTTTTTTTTCTTAATAATGAATAAAGGATGAATAAGAAAAACAATCATTTAGAGGAATTTAAGTGTTAATTTCATTTATTTTTAACTGCTAATTCCATTTTAAAAATTTAAATCGACTATAAACTAACACAGAAACTACACCTAGCAAACAAGGAAAATACATCAAATTAAAAATAATGATTATTTTCTGAGACTTTCATTACAATCTGATGATAATATATTTTGCTAACACGCAGACAAATAAATGAAAGGAATAAAATATTATTGTCCTCTTGTCTTTATGACAGGACTGTTTGTTTTTTGCTGTTTGGGTGAGTGGATAAAGAGCAATACTGAAACTTGTGTTTTAATTTAACATCAGCTAYATTAACGGCAGTCAGTTTATCAATAATTAACATAATCTACATTTCTATGGTTACATATACAGAACAACTTGAAGTAATCTTCCAGTCTCTCACWTTGTTGTAAATTAATTGTGGCCCACTCTTCTTTACATTACTGGTACTTGAGTTTTTTTAAAGTGAGCAGATATCKTCTCTGCAGCTCCTAAAGTCACTCTGCAGGGTTTCAGTCGGGTAGAGGACTGGACTTTGAGTCATTGCAACACTCAGATCTGCTTCTTCTTCAACCATGCTAAACCCAAATGTTTTCAGTTGACAGCAAAATGTGAAAAAAATGGCCTCACTATTCCATTGCTCTGAGGTGACTGTAGATGTTGATTTATGGGTAAATGTTTTTACATAATTAGCTCATGGTTAAGTCTCTAGATTTTATGTTTAAACATTGACAGCACAACAAGGAATCTACATCCACATAACCTCATGCTTGTAAATTAGGGTAATTAAATGAAACACACACTTAACCCACTCAATTTGTGTCTCCAACATTATGCATGAACTATTTTTGCCTGTAATCATAATCATGTAAGAAATGAATGCAAGTATGCCTTAAACTGGATAATTACTGGAGTTGCATACTGGTAACACATTTTGTTGTCCCAGAGAATATGCAGGGTGCAAAACAWCTAACAATTAGCCAGTTAGCTTTATAGTCAACATAACCTCGGACTAGCTTAAAAGGCTAAGCTAACGAGACTAAGCTGTCTGTGTTTTAGATGCATAATTACTGTACAGTTTCATTCATTCAATCATAAATGAATGTAGGCCAGCTAACCGAGCCAACAACTAGTTTTCCATAACTTACCTGTTCTTATCGCATTCTGCCGGCACAGTGTTGATGAGGCTCGAAGAAGAGGTGCAAGTTTTTCACACTTAGTCCAGCATTTCAGCATGGTGGCTCAGCTCCGCTGCAACGACGGCGGCGTCAACAGCCCACAAATCAGACAGAAAACTAGTTATAGTAAATAAGACAGCCAAGAGCTAACAACTAGCAGCACCACACCGACTCTGCCAAGGCCACAGACAGGTCACTCGTTTCAGAGAGGAGACACGGAGACTCTTTCGAAACGAAGATTAGCCGCCGCCGATGAAACCAAACCGGATAACGCCTGTGCTTTGGGAGAAAAATGGCGTCGCTTCTACTGTGACAAATAAATCACTTTAATGGCATTTAATGCTTTGACACGATGTTTGTGTTTATGATTCTAAATAGAAAAACGCAACACTTTAATGTTATAATTTAAAGCTAAAGGYTWGTCACTTTAGACCTGTAAAATCTGCAGTTGTGATAAGTGACAGCTAAGGGTAATCTTTTTTTTCTAGACTCTTTGGTGACTGCCGTAAAGCACACTCTTCTTCGTCTTATGTGAGCAGTTCCGGGGAGGTTCATTGCGCTGCTGCCCCCTACACTTCACTATTTAATACAGCAACTTGAAGGGTTCTGCTTTGGGTTCTCCCAATGACGTTTATTCTCTAAACTAGTCAGTAATGTTACTTTTTACAGTTAGTTTGCAATGCACTGTGGTTTATTCATGCCTTCTTCCGGTTTGTTGGAACACCCTGTTCATATTTACCCTTATATCAGCTGTGCTCTGCAGTCTACAGTATGAAGATTTGAACATGTAGTAACCAGTTTTACATGAGTTTTAGTAACTGTAAAAATGTACATTTTTAATTGCTGGGTTGCAACCAAAACATGGATTGCAGAGCCATTCTCAGTTGGACAAAGGCTTTTAACAGAGAAAAAAAATGTTGAGTAAAAAAAAAACAGTCATTCTGTTTATTATGTAGCGTTATGCTTCATGCTTTAATAGAGTTTTACTCACTGTTAAGTTGTTGTGAGTAGCTGCTGTTTTGAATTATGAACTCTCTCACCTTCTGACAAGGAAWTCCCACTGGAGGGGGTGTTCCAGTTTAACTTCATGACTTGTCAATAGGAAATTCCCACTTTCCAATACAACTAGGTCGCAGCAGAAAATGCAAAATGAAAATTTCACATGGCAAATTCCGGCCGCCAGCTACTTTTGAACTCTGTGCACCTCTACCTAGTGGTGGGATGCTATAATTTTGTGGGTAAAATAGTTGACATGCAGTTTATGGTCAATGCTTTAAAGCAGCATACGCTTATTTTAAGACAATACATATTTGAAGCTCTAGTGGGCCATATAAAACACTGTGGGGGGCCACATTTTCCCCCATGGACCTTGAGTTTGACACGTACTTTAAATAAAACTATGTTGTCCATCTTCAGCAATAGTTGCTTTGAGTTCTCGGACTCAATGACTAGTGGAGCTCTGGGGAATATTTTTCTACTCATGTAAGGTTAAAATCCATGTCATGGAGAAAAACGAAGCTGTTACCCATCAGACCCATGTATCACTTGGGTTTACTCATTGTAGAAGCTGCATGAAGAAAGCTGAAAACACCAGAGGACGGCAGCAGCAGTGACTGTTGGACAGAGCGGGGCAGACAGATGGGACCGTGAGATTAGACCTGAATATGAACCGTGTTGAYTCGAAAGCCTGGTCCATGTGCAAAGCTGATGAGGAGCAGATAATATTCAAATTCAGTTTGACTGTGAAAAAGTGCTGGAGGCAAAGACTAGAAGATCACATTTACATACAGCTTTTTATTATTATTATTTTAGAAGCTCTAAGTGTTTTTCAACATATTTCTAAGGCAGACAAGCTGCTGCTGCTGGTCAACCAACTAAACACTGTAAACAAAGAGCAGAATAAAACATCTGTCAATAATGCTGCAGTGTTGGTGAGAGGAGAAAAGAGCATGAGAACTGCCACAAGGTGAAAGGAATAAGCAAACCATATGTGGAAGATGAGGTTCTGGTGGTGGTGGGGAGGGSTGCTTCACTCAGGAGACTTTGTGCAATGACCACTAAGGAAGTGGCTGAGGGATCTGTTCAGAACTACATCGTCCTCAAAGCAACAAAGACAGAGACAAACCTTTTTGGAGTTACCCGTTTGCTTCGTTGCTTAAAAAAGGAAAATAATTCTAGAAATGACTTCATCTACATGGAAACAACAAAAACAACCACAAGCCTTGTAGTCAGTAAGAACACTGCCCCAAAAATACACCAAAAACAGGAAACAAGTCATGGAGCATGTGCAGAAAGCATGGGTGCAAACAGTAAACAGAAGAAAACACCCTCGAGTTGTGTGTTAGAGGTGGGTCTATGACATTAACATTTTCATTTTCAAAAGGTTGCACAAAAATTATCTTTTTTGTTTTTTCACTCTAGAAATTCTTTTACAAAACAATATTGTTTTGGGGCTCTTTAAACATTTTTTTCAGGGTTGAAACACCTGTTCCCGTGTGGACGGCCTCTCAGTTTGAAGAAAACAAAAGTTCCTTGGTGAGCTAATTGCTAGTCATAGACTTAAAAACAATTTCACTGCAATTCACGCAAACTGTTTTATTTATTCCTGCAGAAATATTATGATATCCTAACAGGAGGTGCAAGGCCACAATGGAAGTGCCACAGCCAGCTGCTGCTACGTATTTACCCTAGGAAACCAACATAAATAATCATGTAATGGAAACTGACTGCAGCGTAAAATGCATGATCTTATCAATCTTGACATCATTAAACTCTGTTCATTTAAATTGAAGTTGTCTAAAAATCTATCTACAACAGGTAAGATATTAATTGTTCAGAACCTTTTTACAGAAGTCCTTTTCAGTAGATCAGAACTGATCAAATAGAATCATTTGTCTCTTTCTAAAACACTAAACACAAGTAGTAAATATATCTACTGAAATAAGAAATGTAAATAATAGTGAAACATGACTGCCCTGCAGTTGTTGCATTTTGACACACTGAACCTGAATTTTTTTTGTCGAGGAAATGTCGGATTACATGAAAAAACAAACAAACCCTGCAGCATTAATGTAAACTGTCTCCAATGATTTGAATGAGTGCTTTTTTTTTACGTTTTGCCACCTGTTTACATAAGAACAAGATRTGTTACTCTGGAAATCTGCTGGGTAAATAATTCAGTTTTATGTTATCTGTTAACGAGGGTCAAGCACTGGAACAATATCCAGTGGATCTGATGCTGAGACTGGGTGTAAAAAGCTTCTGCCAATTTCTGCTCTTTTCAGTTAATATTTAAACACAGTGAGACGCTGGCTGACGTATAAATCAGCAAAAGATTAAAAAAAACTTCTTTTTGTTCTGCTTTGCTCGAAAAACCGCAGAGATTATGGTAAAATTGTATAATGCTTTAACAGGAGGAGCCAGTGTCATCTTCATGAAGGTTCAGATTAGCCTCTAAATCTCTCAAAATGTAACATTTGAAGCTGTTTTCCATCTCCTCCTCTTTATTAACTCTCCTCTTTCTCTCCCTCCCTCCTCCCTCCCTCTCTCTCTCTCTCTCTCTCTGTTTCCCTCAGCCAGTGTGTTCAGTTTCTTTTACTTCCTTCTTTTGGAGTGTCTGTGCTGAATACCAGAGCACACACAGGATATGCTTCACAGTGCTCTCAGTTTCACAGCAGCAGCAGCAGCAGCTGGAGCAGGAGCAGCAGCTGCCGTGAGAACCAAGCCCTCTCTGCAGTCAACATGAGTGCTGGGGATGTGGTGTGCACCGGCTGGCTCATTAAATCCCCCCCGGAGAAGAAACTGAAGAGATTTGTGAGTACTGAAGCAGACGTCAGACACTTGTTTCATTCTTTTATATTTAAATGTATATATTTGGCTTCTCTGTTAAGAGGGGGAATGTTCACTGCTTAACCTTGTGATGTAGAATGAGGAATCCAGTCATTTTGGCTGCCTGACTCCATTCCTCAGAACTGGAGCTGTGTTTTTTAATGTGGGGGCAGACACCTCTAAAGTGTAGCTGGAGCCAACTCCTGTAGAATGAGGAGCATCGAGCCCCTCACTGTTTGTGTGGTGGGGTTGTTGTGTGGAAGGGGTGGATTGGGGAAGGAGGGGAGGGAGGGGGGGGTGTCATGTGATAGTGTTAGGCTGCTCTGTGTCCATCTGTATGTGTGATGAGTGCATGGATTGTGAAACATGGGAAGTAATGTCAGCAGCAGCAGGCAGACACTTCAGCAGCAGCAGAAATAGTCCAGCTTTAAGACGGCTGTTTGTACTTCCTCTGCACGACTGGAGGAGGAGTGTGTGTGTGTGTGTGTGTGTGTGTGTGTGTGTGTGTGTGTGTGTGTGTGTGTGTGTGTGTGTGTGTGTGTGTGGTTGTGTTGTCTCAGGCAGAGGTTGTTTGCCTCATTCAAATGTCAGGTGCTGGCACACGTCAGTATGAAAATCTTCGTTCTCTTTGTCAGAATGCCATTTGTGCTGGAGAATCCTCTGAGTRACAGGGCACAACATTATATTTTTTTCTTTTTGAAGCGTAAAAATTAGACAGCGATGCTCTTGTGATGAGAAATGACAGATTTGCAGCTTATTTTATTTAAAAAAAAGAAGAGAAACTAATCGTGCAAACGCTCAGCGTATGCTACTACCACGTCAAACTCCATCCATCTTGATTCAGGTTAACTTTAAGAAAAAAAACAATCAACCGTAGATGTGCGTCCAGTAACCACTTTATGAGTTTTATTAAAAATCGCCCAGCTGTTCATTTTTCTAACAGACAGTTTGCTGAGGTTCAAGCTGCACTTAAAGGTGTTTGAATCCATTGGTGAGTGAGTCATTTCTGCTAATGTATAAATGACCCAGTTTAAAATGACTCAGCTGTCACCAACACCGACGAGATGTTTGAATTTGACCAAGTCACATGACAGCAGGGAGAAAAAGAAATAAATGCCATCAGATGTGGTGAAAAGGTCTGAATACTTTCTTCTGTGGTTTTTAATTAAACAGCTTTTTTGTTTTTAAATGTTTCAGTCAGGAAAATGTCTTCATGTTAGATAAAGAAAAGTGAAACAAAATTTCCATGAGTTCTTTCTGATGTCCACCTACACAACAACAACAACAACAACATAATAGTTTGTTTTTGATAGTTAAACTTTACAAATTGGGAAAGTTTACTACCACTGATCTATCAGTAGTTTTGTTTTCCTCTTAAAAAATGTCAGCGTTTTTTCTTCAGCAGCAAAGTGTGGCGAGTCCTTTTACCATTTCCTGGTAAAAACACAAACTACTGACTGACTTGTGTCGCAGCAGATC